AAGGTGTCGGGACAATCTGGATGCGCGCTGATTGCGAATGTGTAGTTTAAGAACATAAGTGGTTATATGAGAAGTCTGTACCAGAAGTCGATTCTTTTCTTTCTTTTTTTGTATTCTTCTAATTCTCAGGTTCTACATAATGTAAGGTTCAGGAGTCCTGACAGCTTACGATATGGAGACTCTCACCTCCACACCACCTTGTTCTCCCACAGCAAGAAGAAAAACTGTGATCTCACGAAGGCTCACACCAGAAGCCAGGTACCTGATCTACGGATGTCAGGACTTGAACATGGAGGGGTCTAGCCGAGCGGCACAGAAACCCAATCAGTCCTTGGTTTAAAAAATTCCCCTGCCAGTTTCCCACACTGCTATTTACAAACAGTAAAGACAGAAAACTTAAAAACCCATTCTTCACAGAAAGGAAATCCTCCATTCTGACAGTGCACCTTTCACGGAACAGAAGAAAACTGGTACTAAGGAAACCCCAAACTACAGGCCAAAACCTGTCACTCGCCTACAACTACCATATTCTAAGCTGGACCTGGTCAGATCCACCCATGCCTCGTGAAGTTGAAATAATGAAGAGGCATACCATATAGGTGACATAAACATATATCTTAAGTATAAAGACCATGCAGGTGAGTAGGAGAAAATGTAAAGAAAAAGCACTGGTAGTAAGCAGGAGGTATTGGGAGAATGGAAGCCCCAAGCCATCTATCTCGGAGGGCCAAAGGAGCTACCCAAGTTAGTAAAACAGGGTGTGGTAGTAGGATACCAGCTGACAGTAGTAGGGTACCAGCCAACACAACCAAAGACAAAAAGAGAGGGAGGACCCAAGGCCCCAGTGCGAACTGAATTGAAACTAAACAATTGCCGTATTGCCACATCTTTCATGTAGTTCCTTCGTTTGGGAGTAATAGCGTTACTTAGTGGTGGGGATGCCACAGGCAGAAAGGAATTGGAAGGGTGAGGGGAGGAAGGCGACCCCAACTTGAACCAATTTACAAGACAGGTATGATCAAATCTTACCGTAAGACAGATCCTGAATTTACTAGCTGAGGCGTTCCCCAATGAGAATCGTCCAAGTGTGGGGAAATTCTTCCACTACTGCCAGTGCTGACAAGAAATATGGAGAGGGAGCTGACAGTGCCAGAGATAAGTGAGCTTCCAAGCAAGACAGGACTACTGGATGAGGCCCAAATAACTTCCGCATCAAGCAAACAGAGAACAAGATAGGTAAAGGAATGAGATACTGTTGAAGAGAAACTATACCCCTAGGCGGGAACCATCAAGGGGACAGCAGGGAGGGTAGATGGTCCATGATAGTTGACAGTGATGTTGTCAAACTATGTGGGAGGAAAATAGGAGTGATGATGTGTGGCTTTAGCAGAGGTCCCTAGACCTCACTATTCATACAGACACCTCACCCATCCCTAACCCTTCGTGACTCGTACCTTCACGTCACCATATCCTATGACTCATAGTTGTGAGTCACGTGAGATTCTCAGTTGACTTATATGAGTCAACTATGCAATATATGTAAACCAATTGTAATCCTTAGAACAATTTATATGTTCCAAATGCATCACATAGATCAGACTCGTTACTCATAAGTATAAGTCATGCATGAAAGATATAACTTCATATGACTCACCACTGTGGGTTATCGTATAACTATAAACCCCTGTGACTCACATGCATGAGTCATATGAAACCAGATGTTCTCCAGTATCAATCTGGCTTGTTACAATCCAGTTTGTGACAGTTTGCTTGGATAGACTGTGGCCACAATTCATCTCCACCTGTTTCCTCATATGAAATCTACTAACAAGAATCTGTGTGGATAAAGTGGTGTTCGGATTACCTGGAGGGCCATATATCATAAAACAACCAAGAATACTGTTTACTATTCACTTCTCTTTATTTTCCAAAGTCAAAATGGGCTCAAACTCTTCCTAATAAGAGCCAATCTCACGATCAGATAAGGCACGAGTTACTGGCATTTGACTAACATGGGACTAGCCTCGATCAAACCGGATATCGATTATCTTCATTCGCTGAGTATAAATATCTCTCTTCATAAATCCGATTCAGCGATCCTTATTCGCCTTACTTAACTCAGCAGGTCTTCTAGATAGTACTTTGGGATCTAAGGCTGAATTGGCAATCAGTTCCAGGTGTGGAAGTAGACTATCAATTGAGCTCAAGCCAGGTTACCTAGCAGCCTGACATGCCTGATGGGCATCAGAGGTATTTCCTTTGGTGTGTTGTAAAAGCTGCTGGGTGGTAGAGATAGCAATCCCAGTTGCTTCTTTTATTGTGTTAGAATGTAATTGGCTTCTTAAGGCGTGGAAAAGCAATTATTACTGCCTCATGGCATGGAGTTATTTCCTTTCCTACATGGAGTTGGGTTAGTAATGAATCCTGTGTAACCTCAGGATTTCCAGCTCATGCCTCCATTCATAATAGCCAATATACTGAGAATGCAGGATCGCAGTATAACTAGTGAGTTGTGTTGACACAAGATAGTTGTGTAGAAGTAAGCGGATAAATTATCTCTCACATTTTTACTCAAGACTTGGAGCCAAGATTTCCATATACTTTAGCTTTGGCAAAGTAGTAGA